TTTTGGTGGCCGCGCCCCCCCCCCCCCCGGGGACAGCAACCGACAGCCAGCGCCATAGTGCGCCATTCTGCGGGAGCGGACACCAACCAAGAGCCACATGATTTATACCTGGTGTCCTTAGCCCATGCAAGCCTCACTACAAGTGAGTAGATACCTTATGCCGAATATTCAGACCAAGAGCCACATGATTTATACCTGGTGTCCTTAGTCCATGCAAGCCTCACTACAAGTGAGTAGATACCTTATGCCGAATATTCAGATCAATAAGATTACAAACTAACCAGATAAACATCTATAGAATCTATAACAGACCTCAGAGACTTACTGCGTATAGAAAAGTCGATATCTGAGATTACAGCTCACAAAGATGAGAAACTATTTATGATTGACACAACATCATATGACGAGGAGACCTTGCATTAACATACATTCGACGGATGCGAACTCACTACACAACCACTGCCTGAGCAATGCCAGGTGGACAACCTGTTGAAGTGTCTGTCGTAGTCAAGCGATAACAACAATGTTTGACGTCGCATATGATGTGGTAGCATATGCGAGGACATATGGTCGGTATATATGTTGGATGTCAGATACATGTATGAGCAGTCTCTTCGATAACAATGTAAGGGATCCGAATTCGACTATCTTATAGGTGCATGAAAACGGGAGTTTGAATATTCCACTTGTGCGATGTTCGAGCAACATGGTGGGCTCTGTCGGGGAGTTTACAACTGGAAATCCTTATTGGTTTATGTTCCTGTGATCAGGATCGGCTACTCGCAGGAATCTGAATATCATTATACCAAAACTGGCTAGATATGGAAACAATATATCTCATGAGCACGTCATGGTGAAGTATCAATCTTCACGTGAACCATGCGCATCATAGTATGATATGGCGTAACACACTCGTAAACATGTAGCATGAGGTGCTAGGGAGATGCCATACGAGCTTGGCAAGCTCACGGGATGCACAAAGACATCTAAGTCAAATCTCGTAGAGAAGATATGTGTCATGAGATGCTGCCTGCATCTTGCGACCTATTCATACCTAGCTGTGACTGTTGTAACTTCATGCGAGATTTGGTTTATGTGTGAGAATAAGTCTCCGGGCTTTTAGAAAGGTCTACCGAGGGGCTTAACCAATATGTGCTGCAATCCCGCTTGCCCGCGCGGCCGGAAGGCGTAAAGGGGGAAGCCCGAACGATGCGGGCATCTTATAAGGACACCTACTGCGATGGTCTATACGGATGGCTCAATGTCATAATGATATGTTGAAGAGATTTCCTGGTGCTCTATGTTGATGTGGCCATATTCAACACATAACATGCCTTTTACATTGAAGGAATGCGGCGAATATCCTGTTCAACTGCCGGTTGGGTGCCTCATTATGACGGCTCCGTTACTCTTGCCAAAACTGGCATGCAGCTGCCAATGTAATCTGCCATGTTTGTTTCCACCACAAGAGATACTTGACTTCTTGATCATGTCACATATTAAAAAGTTGGTCTTAGGCTCAGTATAGTTCTTATACTTTTTCTTAGGTAACAGGATTTAGTTTACGGAGATATCCATAAGACACACGATGAACTGCGTCATGGGCTTTAACAAGACCATATTAGAATGGTTGCGGCATACAGGTGCATTGCCTGCAGCATAGATATATCAAGCGGTATTGTTTACAGCTGATGACAATCGTATGTGCGTGTCGGTGTATGCTTGTGTGTGCATGTGCAAATAATGTGTTTTCACGGCAGTCAACCTATGACTAGATGGTATGAGCAACAAGACAGCGAAAATGATTAATATTGCAGGTGGATCTCCATATGTCTGCATATACAATAATGATAGCAGAGCACCATCTCGTTGAAAAGTATATTAATTCAACTATATCCTTATCCTTTGGGGGCTTGTGGGCTTCAGCCGCAATGATCACTAATCTGGATATTCCAACATTGTAGCTGTCAGGATGTATACAGCAACTTCCATGCGATGATTGTCTTTGAAGGTCGCAGGTTTTCAGTTATCTGGGTTGGCTTCTGTGAGAAGCTGTTGCAATTGAAATACACAATTCCGCACACACAGCTCCAAATACTGGACAAATTATTGGACTGGGAGCTCCGAAACAAGGACAACCAATGCAATAATAATCGCAAACAATAAATACGCCTTTGAAGGAGGTTGCATTAAACAAGCTAGAATTCATACGAAAAACGGTATCGAAACTGAATGTAGCAAAGACATATATGTACATATATGTATATATGTACATATGCAAATGGAGCCGGTAACGCGCTCCAGTTGATCGCCTGCATGCATATAGCTTGAGACGGCGGGAACTGTTTGAGCAACCTGCCTGTATGATGCCAAACTCAACTTGTCATGCTACAGTATATGCTGGACGTCTATATCCAAAATCATATGCTACCATGCGGATTCTTTACGCTGATATGCAAAAGTTATATAGCTTGACCGGTCTTGTACATCATTCAAGGGTGGAGAAATGCACGGTTTCGCAGACGCATTGTATCTCATTTGTCTGCAAGATTATACTATGAGACACAAAGAACAACCACAAGATTGAAGTGGCATTGATTTATCGGATAGTCTTCATGAGAATCCACAATGAAAGGTAGTCACAAGTGCATTCCATGCTGATTGGGAAAGGACATCCCATATCAGGCATCAAGAGCAACAAGGTTAAGTAAGCTTGAAAACCACTAATATGCAGACTATGACGATTGTAAGTTTTTGTAATGAAAACTCATAGAAAACAGCATTTTGACTGGAAAATATGGGGCCCGTAATGTCTTACACTCTCTAGTAGTAGTAGTAGTAGTAGAAGGAGAAGCAGTAGTAGTAGTAGTAGTAGTAGTAGTAGTATTGGTAGTAGTAGTAGTAGTAGTAGTAGTAGTAGTAGCAGGAGTAGTATTAGTAGCAGTAGTAGTAGTAGTAGTAGTAGTAGTAGTAGTAGTAGTAGTAGTATTAGTAATAGTAATAGTAGTAGTAGTAGCAGTAGTAGTAGCAGTAGTAGCAGTAGCAGTAGCAGTAGGAGTAGTAGTAGTAGTAGTAGTAGTAGTAGTAGTAGTAGTAGTAGTAGTAATGTAGTAGCAGTAGTAGTAGTAGTAGTAGCAGCAGTAGCGGTAGCGGTAGCAGTGGCAGTAGCGGTAGCAGTGGCGGCTGCACTAGCAGCAGCAGCAGCAGTAACGGGAGCAGGAGTAGTAGTAGTAGTAGTAGTAGTAGACGTCGTCGCCGTCGACGTCGTGGTGGCAGGAGTAGAAGTAAGAGTAGGAGTGTGAGTGGGAGTAGGATTAGTGGTTAGTAGGAGTAGGAGTGGCCGTAGCGGTAGCGAGTGGCAAGTTGCAAGGGGCAAGGGGCAAGTGGCAAGTGGCAGTTGCAGTGGCAGTGAAGCAGCAGTGGCAGCAACAGTAGCAGTAGCATTGGCAGCTACAGCCACATCACACAGACGTCGTAATGCCGCCCCAGCCTTACCCTTTCTTGCTGCCATTAGTCGCTACACCTCAGGTCCAAGATTGACAGGTCTGGAAAGCACAGAAGTGAACGGCCCTACGCCTTTAAGTCCCAATCCTGGTAAGCTCGACATCGACAGTCACATTGCCAGATCCCGAATGTGCATGTGATCATGGAGGCCACGTTAACCAAACCCACTTCCCCCCCTCCCCAGGCTTTTGAGGGCATCCAAAGCCTTGAGTTTCAGTCTGCCTGGAGCTTGGGGCCATGAGGGCCAAGTCGTGAGGTTGGAGTTACGAAGTACTGAACTCGGCATGAACTCACTTCAGTGCCATGCTGCCATATTCGCCCTTCTTGAGAGGATCACGAAGGAAGCCTGGAACACTGAGCCCCTCATAAACTCTTCAAGACTTGTTTGTCATGTTTTCCCTAGTTTTCGCATGCGACTCGAAACAGTCGTCCAACAGCCCTGATGAGCTTCCACACCTACGTAAGGGAGAGCTCGGTTCTTGAATCGCCTGGCTATGTGCAGAGCGATTTTGTCTGATCAGCTGGCAAACTCAAGCCTCGACGTTAAACACCCGACAAGAGGCGACTCGAAACTGCTGAAACTTGGAAAGCCTGTCTAGGCCCGAGAACCGGAGACTCTTGAGTTGACTTTAGGGTCTAAAGAAGAGTTTAGGGTTGTGCTATTCAAGGCCTGTTTCCATCACGCTGTGTCTATCCATTGCCGTGAAAACTGGACTTCTTCGTGACAGCAAAGCATTTACAAGCAAGCCTGGTTTTGCTTGCAATTTCGAGTGCAGACCGCAGGAAATCTGAAGAGGGTCGCATCGATCACAGACGCACACTATGCGGATTCCTTATTCACCCGGAGACCACCAAGAGACCACCAGGACACCACGGCCAAACTGCTTCCCACTGGCGAGATCAGACACAAGCTGCTTACCCCCGTGCATTGGGGGGATTCGATCTCCTGCAGGCCAACATGACGCCGATTTGTTGAAATTTACCATGAATTGGGCGTCCTGGCAGATGGGGCCAGAGAAGGACAGTGTAGACAATGTGACATGGGTGCACAATATGCATCGCACCATAGTGTAAGTCGCGTTCGTGCCGGCGTCCCTACTGCGACTGCCTCGCCGCTGCCCCAACCAAATCTCTTCACTCGTGACGTCGGAATACCATCATGTATATTAATGTTCCGCATCGTAACAACCGCCGCTCATTCTGGCTCTATGAGGTTCTAGAGAAGCACAGGTAGAAGATTGGATCGGGCCTTGATCCCCATCCGACAAAGATGGAGCGCCTTCGATGCAGCGCCTTGGTCGCGATTTCTGTACAGATGCTGAGCGCAGAGGCGGCCATCTGTGGCAACTGGAACGAAACGCAGTGCCCCACCATGAATGATGGCGGTTGCAGCTGTTACTGGAATTCCACGACTTGTGCAACGAATAGCTCGGACTGCAGTGGCGTTGGCATTACATCCGTGGGTGACAATTGCACGCTTACAGGCGGGGAGGTGGTGACTGATGGCTGGAGTGGCAAAGACACTGGCAACAACTGGTGCAACAGCTGCAACTGTGGACAAGGGATGCTAGCGTGCACCCTCATTGGCTGTATGAATGGCACTGATAATGGCACAGTTCCCACCAGCAATGCCGGTCGATCAGTTGCCGCGGTCGCTGCTTTGATCATGTCTCAGCTCTTCGCGAGGATTTGCTGATCTCTGCAGTGCGCAGCCTTTGCGTTTCGTTTTACCTACTGAGCTCCAGAGTGTCACTGACGGACAGGTGACATGCAGGAGTTGCGCCTTCTGTAAAGAACACGAACTTAGACATACACACATACTTTTGCACAACGAACTTCAACGCGGGACACAGCCGGGCCAGAGAGTGTCCGAACAAAGTGCCGGCAGCGGTTGCAAAACGGTGGATATTCATGAGCTTGTGTGTGTGTGTGTCGGTGTCGAGAGCTCCTGGTCAACTGACACTGCTTTCCAACAGCCCCTGTCCATTGCAGTCAAGATCCTGCACTGCAGACTGTTTTGCTCAACATCCCAACTTCCATAATGCGATAGGCCCCCGAGCTCCGTAAATGGGTCGAAACTCGACGAGTCCGCTGAGTAGACTGCTTCATGCGCTTCTCAAGGCAGATCAGCGGATCACCGCCATGATGTCCTCGGAGAAGGAGTCGGTGCCGGTGGGGTCCTCGGATGCTGGCGCTGTGCCTTTGTGCTTTCCTGGATGCCGGGGTACCTTTTCTCATGTTCCTGCGGTTTTTGTGTACATGAAGTTTGCAAACATATCAACAGCGAGTCCGCAGTTGGTGGATGCTGTGGATCCACACGCGGCAAGTGGTAACGTGGAGAAGTGGCTCGTTCAGGTCGAGGCAGGTCCTGACCTCTCGGAAAGCGACTGGGGTCATTGCTTCGGGTTCCGCTAGGCCAGGGTTGGGGTCGAGAGCTGAAGTTCACTGCGCAATGATCAGGGACAGGGCTACTTGCAAAGCCAAGTACAAGCTACTTGTGGCGTCCCTGAGCCTCCAAGTGGGATTATCTGGGCGGCTTTTGTTTATGGCTGTCGGGTTTAGAAGAAAGAAAGGATTTGGGTTCCTACCTTTTCAGGCCAGTCTGAAGTTTAGGAAAATATGAAGCAGTTGCTGTTGAAAAGGTTTCCGAGCAGAGATTGTTGAAGTTCAGGTAGCACGTGCCAGAATTCCAGCACGACGGCAGTTTCAGACTTTGGCCTTCGCCGAATTTCAACGGCCGTTTTAGCCGTGAATCTGGCTCGCTTTACGATGCCTACATACACAGATGTATTGCACGGCTCAAGCCTCAACATCCCAAAGCCAGTGAGCCTGTGTCATCCTCGAAGGATTCCCAGTTTGTGACAGCCTCACCGCAGGGCCAAAGAGGCGATTCGAACTGTTCAGGCGGCCATGATCCAGACCATTCGTCACGTCTGCCTTTCTTCGGAGAAGGCCGGTGGTTCTTCTGAAGCCTGAAGCATGGTGTGCGGTTTCCGTGCAAAGAAGCTGGTAACCTAAGCACATGATTCAGAACAGCCCCCAAGGCCGAACTGGAACGGCGAGGTTGTTTCTGCATGCCTTGTCGGTGGTGTAGGCTGGGTGGAGGGTAAGCCTTTTGGCATATGGAACCAAGCCTCAAGAAAGACCAAACATTCGCACCGCCAATTCTGGCCTGCCCTCAGTTCTGGTTGGTCCCAGGACTACATGGAACGGAAGTTTACCGACTGGCTGCGGCAGTGGCCTGGACAGGCCCAAAACGGAGAATACAAGAGGACATCGCGGGCTCCCAGATGCAATCCTGATCTCCGACGCTTCGCCGTTTACTCGCGCGTTTTGGTCCGGCATGAATTCGCCTCTTCAGAAACCGCATTTAGTTGATGAGTTTCAGACAGGCTATGAACTCCAGATCTAAAGCTCCAAAGACTCCCAAGCCGTCAGCCTCCGAACGCTGAGATCCCAATGAGCCTCTGCTTGAGCCTTGAGCAGTCTCGACAGGCCGTCATCGCCATCTTCTCCCTCTTTTGGACGCGAGAGGTGGGCTGGAACCTAGGCGATTCTGACGGGAGAGGAGTATCTGCAGCGTTCGGGTTTTGGGCTGTTGGGGTCAGAGTGCTTTCTTCCATCGGTCTTTCTGTTGCGCTCGCGGAAGGTGGAAGAGGGACTGCGCCAGCATGGCAACGATGGGGCAGTTCTCTCAGAAGGGACTCCGAAGCTGTCCTTTTTGCTGCTCATGCTGACGCGTTGCCAGAGGTTCCATGGTTCCGTTGATGCGTGGGTGCATATCTTGAGGTAGTTCGGATCAGCTTTAGCATCCGGGTGTGAGTCGCCGACCGCACATGTTGCCAAGATACTTCAAGTGGCAGAGAAGCTGAAGGGAACGTTGGGAGACATCATTGCCGGGAGCCCAGAGGAACGCGGCTTCTGAAGCTCGAGAGGTGAGTCTTCTTCCGGTGGAAAATTCCAGGCCAAAACAGACCGACCCCTCGCTCTGATGTCTTACCGGATACATGCCTTATAGTACCATCCAACTGCAGCTCCCGATGCCTTGGGACCCTCCAATCGTTCAACCCAGAAACCGAAAATGGACGGTTCCTCCATGTGAAAGCTAGAAATTTGAGGTCTCGCACGAACGTCCTGGTAAGTCCCAATTTAAGGACTTGGTTCGGAATGACATTCCGGCACTGACGCGGTGCACCCTCGAAGCCCTGATTGTGATCTTCGTCCACAACAAGGCACAAAATCATATGATGCAATGTAAATCAAGGCAGACCCGGCTTTGGCATGTACGAGGAGTCCTCTCGCTTTCCGGCTCCCCCTGCCCTGAACCCCACACCGCAGTCCATGGTGCCATGCAGTGAGAGAGCGTGCTGAGCTGCTTCGATCATGTCTTCTGGGAAAGCCCTGGTGACCTGGGTGCTTCAGATATCCCCGCATGGTGTGCGAGTTCGGGAAGCATGTTGAAGCTGTGTGCGACTCTGTGGCCATGCCTGCTTTGCATGCCGCATTGCACAGGTAGCAATTCAAGGTGATTTTTTTGGTGTCGCTTGCGGGGTTTCTCAGCGCCAGGATACTGTTGAGGAGCTCTGCAAGATGGGAACCAGCATGGTGGCTTGGTAGCAGAAGCAAGGCTGAGATCTCGCAGGTGTTGGGTTTGCTGCATGCCTCATTGCCACAGCAAGGTTTAAGTGTGTTTACAGGAATCGGAACAGGATGATCTTGCAAGCAAGGAAGGGTTCAGTCTCTCACGAAATTTTAGGCCGAAAGGGTTTGATGGCACAACTTCGGTTAGATTTTAGGCCGTCGGCACTGGGTTCTCGAGCCGATGTGTGCCGTCCAAACAACTGCGGTGGAACCGGGGCTGAGGTTTCATTGGACACGCCTGAGGGCGGCTACAGTTGTTCAAGAACCACAGCTCGGTTTGAGAACATGCTGAGGTTCATCGGAGCAAAACCTGAACAGTTATTAATAGTATTCCTTCTTCGAAAGCATGGCAAGCTACATCTGCAATTAGAGAGTGCCACAGCGAAAGACAGGTGTGCCCTTGCGGTTGCATTGAACCATGCAAGAACCAGATTCTTTACAGCCGCGTTCCGCAACTAAGAATCCGAGTTGTCTGGCGTGCTATTTCCTTTCCTGGCGCCCATGAGAAACGATCCCTGGAAGCTGCTCAGTTGGGCTGAGCACGCGATCGATTCACGACTCGGTGTCACAGCCCGCAACCGCGACAAAGAGTTGTGTGTGAATGCTTGCTAGCTGCTAGCGCTTCGGAGCCCCATGTACGACCAAATGCTGTGGTCCCATGTCAGCATCCAGTTTCGATCGCACTTGTGAGAAATGTACAAGACCAACACTGTGAACCCCCAAGCCCCAGACCCCGTCTGCTGCTGGTAGGTGGATGACTTCGACTGGCTGGTCCAGCTGAGATACTACATCGAGGAGCGGCAACGCTTGTAGAAGCGCTTGATAGATCCGGATATACTCAGACCTCAAATAGCCTGGTCAGCAAACTCTTCGGGTCCAGGGGTCAGATGCAAACTTACGGCTTCTGTACTCGCCGTGTTGGCGTCTGCGTCGCAAGAGCTGAACAATATGCGACACCTCTTGGTTTGGGATTGCGGTATACTTTCAAAGTCAATCTATGCTACCTAAATCCTAACATGCCTGCCGATGCCTTTGCCGACAGTTCAGCTCCAAAAAGGCCCGGAGGTTCCAGATGCCGAGTTCCGCTCACCAGGAGAATCCGGAGAAGCCTGAGCAGCTGGACCTGCTGCCAGCTCAGCGTTTCTGGGGCTTATGCTAGGGCTCTCGAACCGCTTGCATGACATTCCTTCCTGCTGCGGCTGCATTGGCTTTGATATTTGCAGCAGCCAATCAAGCAATGTGCAGGTTTGTGCGGATCACAAACAGCCATCTCGGCTACGCCTACGAGTACTTGGGCAATTCATCTCGGCTCATCGTCACACCGCTGACGGACTCGCAGGGGGGGCGGGATACGGGAAGCACTTATCTGATTTAAACTTTCTTTCGAAGATGCTGACATGCCTGCAGGGAAGTGTCGTAATAAGAAAGACTGACTTGCCCAAACTGTCAACTGATTCCATGGAGCTCGTTTGCTTCCCAGCTGCAAGCCACTCGGTGTATCTTGCTGCGATGCAATCTGCCAATAGCCGGCTGGTGGGAGACTTCATTGAAGATGAATTGCGCGGCCCGTCAAGCTGTATTTCCAGAACAGATCAGCAATACGCGCGTGCTGAGCTTTTTTGATATCACAGTGGCTTGCATGCTGAAAGGGAAACCTAAGGCGGAATTGGGGTTGGTGGCGTCCTTGTCGAGCCAGGACAGATGCTACCGCACATGTTCCGGCCTCAGGGTTTAGGATTTAGGGCGGCGAGCCTGATGCACCGGACTACAGGGCAGCTGCCGCACCTGAAAAGTAATCTCTTGGCGAATGTCTGGGAGCTGCAGCATGTCTTCATTAGAATCGGAGGAGGACCTTTGCTGAATAAGGAGCCTAGGCAAGAGAACACAGTGATGAGATGCACCTGCAGGCACTTGCCGAGGCACAACATCATCTGTGTTTAAAGATGATCCAGTAGCACAGGAGGATCGCCATCCGCCACTCCAGAAACATGATGGGGGCATTTCCTCCCCTGCAAGGTTGCGGCGCTCTTCACCTGCTCTACGGTGCAGCCCCAGAGGCAGCTTCTCCGTCAGAGGGTCTCACTTTTCAGGGTGGTGCTGATTTTGTGTTCGAAGGGGATAAACATACATACAGACAGACAGACATACATATATACAGACAAAAGTATGTGTACAGTAGGGAGGCGGCTCTGGCGTTTCGGATTCAGGCTTTTGAGCTGGTTGTCGCATGTTGTTGCAAAAGGTTTGACTTTTGAGTTTCGAGTGCTTTGGGATCGCTCGGTTCCCTAACTGTAGGTGTTGCAGAGAGGCTTTTGGGCTTGCAGTCGGGGGTGGAGTCCAGATTCTGTTAAGGTGATGCTGGAGCGGAAATTTAGCATTTTCAGTTCAACCAAGGGAAAGCGCATTGTTCGGACTTCCACTAGCCTTGCCTCCTGCCATGCAAAGAAGGCGGTGCCTTTGCCGACATTTGTTCGATCCAAAAGTCCGAATCCCCGACTGTGCCTGCAGGTTTTCAGATTTTCGTTCTTCCTCCATCAAAACAATTTCGACGTCTGGCAGGGCCCTGCGGGCACTGGAAAGACCGAGACAGTCAAGGACCTGGCGAAGGACGCCCCGGCATGCTTTTCATCACGAAAGCGGCTTCGGGTTTCAGGTTTCATCACTCGTGCCAAGCGTTTCTGCACTGCTCACGATGGCGCATTAGCTCTTCGGCCCTGAGTTACATTGCCAAGTCCCGCAGGCCTTGGCGAGGTTCTGCGTGGTGTTTAATTGCTCCGATGAGCTGGACTACCTCGCAATGGCAAAGTTCTTCAAAGGCACAATGCCCTGCGCATATTGCCTCATCGCTTCACGCTCACAAAATCCCACATGAGCTGTATTGAATAAGTTCGTGGCCGACATTGTGCAGCGCAAGCACTCGTGAGGCCTGGCCGCATCAGGTGGTTGGGCATGCTTTGACGAGTTCAATCGCATTGATGCAGAGGTGGGAGCGGCATGTGGTTTAGGTTGACGTTTTGGTAGGTGAGCATCTGGGGCTTGTTTCCCGGTTCTACGATGACAGTGTTGATGTCATCGCAAGAAATGGCACCAATACCTGCATAATCGTGATAGAGACAGCAACGAAAACAGTACCGCCCCTTAATAAAGCTGTGGGCTCGAGACTTGACGTAAGAATCGAAACTTCCCAAGCCTAGACTTAGGGATTAGGGTTTAGGGCTTAGGGCTCAGAAGCCTTGTAACGTTTGCAGCAGGAGCTCTAGCTGCCAAAAAGAGCACCCAACAAATTGCCTGCTCGACTCCAGACCTTGCTGTCTTTTTGTGCAAGGTGCTCAGCGTCATCGCGCAGCAGATCCTTTGCATTCAGAATGCCATCCGGGAGCTCTGCGTTTGAGGTAAAGCCCGAAGTTCCGGAAGCTTCAACTAGGTCCTGTCAGACGTAGTCTCATGCCAGACCAAAGAGGCAATCCAGACACCATTATGAGCTGAAAGATATGTTCTCGGGCTGTGCGAGGTGGGTCATTGGATTGCCCTACGTAGACACTGACACCTCCAGAATTCTCCTACTGATCCCCGGTATGCGTGGCAGTCCGTACAGCCACCACGTGGAAGGAGAAAAAGACTACGTTCATCTTCGAGGGCACAGAACTGCCAATCATTTGGACGTGCAACTGCCTGGGCCTCTGACAAGGAGTGGAGATCCGAGCATTGTCGGATACAGCGGTTGGGTTATGAGCTTCACGTCTTGGATTTTCGCTTGCAGATTGAATATTGGCAGTCTAACATACTCTCGTGATCGACGGAATCTTGCGACGTGTACACAGACACAGAGCGTGGCCCACGAGGGATTGCTGTGCAGTTCTACACGATCAGGCTACTGATGGGAGACGGCATGAGTGAAACAGCCTGATATGTCAGGCTGTTAGGGCGCTTCAAATCAGCCCGAACTGGTCTATGGGCGAGGCATTCAGCCTAAACAACAGCCGAGCTCTGACTGGACACCGAGACCGTGGGCTAGAGCGCCAAGCCCTCAATCCACAACCTTCCGACTCCAAGCTCCAGTCCAAGGCTTCATCACCATGAACCCCGGCTATGCGGGCCGAGCCGAATTGCCTGACAATTTGAAGGCTTGGATGTGGTTGGACCCACCACGATCTTGTAGCTACAGCAGAAGCAGCAGGCAAGTACAGTACTAGCTGCAGAAGAGCCAGTCGACGCATGAACCTCGCAAGGCTGAGTGGTGCTGTTCCATGTCATGCCGCTTTATCTGCCCGATGGTGCTTGCAAGCACCAGCTACAGCAAACCCTCTGCCTCCGTAATGGTGGCAAGGCGGCTCCAGCACTTCCAAGCTACTTGTACTTTGGGCTTGGGGGTTGGTGCAGGCCCTCTTCCGGACCGTGGCAATGATGGTGCGCAGCCCATCATCCCAGGGTTCGTTCAGCATTTCAGTATTGATCCAGCCACTTGCTTCGCGCTTCTCAATTCGCCTTGGAGAAATCGTTAACGACCACATTAACTATGTGTCCTTAATAGATACGCAGTATGAACCCAAGTAACATAGAGCACACATGCGAACAACGTTCATGCCCTAACGTGTTCTCATATGTGCCATGTAAAGTGTATAGAAAGCACATGTATATGAGTCCAATACGTACTGAAGCCCTTTGCAGCTCAAGATAAAAGAGGAGTGAGTTGCTTTTCGCATGGTAGCGGAGCTGGGTCCCTTCTAAGGAAGCTCCGGACGGGTGAGTGATACCGTCAGTCCGCGTCTTGTAGCGGCGGCGGGTGACACCGCAAGGTGTCGGGTGTGAGGGAACCCCACCGTAACCCTCATTAAACAAGTGGGGTGGGTGCGGGGTGAGTCGCGTGAGCAGCGACCACCACAGAAGCCGTCAAGACGGTAAAGGGCGGCAAGCACCAGAAGGGTGCAAGAGGAAAGGGCCACCAGAAAGGTTCCAAGTGGAGTCGGGATAAGGAAGGAAGCGGTCGCAGCAAAGAAGCGATCGAGCGCCGGGCCTTGCGCGGAATAGTTGCCCGCTCTGAGCGGCTTCTGCAAAACGCTGACACGCTAGAGGAGCGTGAGACAAGTAACCCGGTTGACTCAGTTGAAGGCTTCGACTTCGCAGAGGGCCTTCACTACCAGTCGGCACCGAGCTCGCACCCTGTGGCGAACGATCGTGCTGTGGTGCGAGGCGGGCTGCCCTCAGCAGCTCGAGGATCGGACCAGGCCGTCTGGGAGAAGCTCAAGAGGAAGTTCCCGGAGGCGGTCTCAATCGCCGAAGGTAACCCGGGACGTCAGGCGAGGCTGGCACACGTCCGCAACAAGGCGGCTGCCAGTGTGTCGCAAGGGCTTGGGCCAAGGAGTCGCCTGGCCTCGGTAAAGGAGTCGAGTGGCTCGTCGAAGGACTCAGCGGGAGGAACCGCGAAGAGTGCGGGTGATACCGCCGACCGAGTGGAGCTGGACTGAGCCAGCCATCACGGTTGACAGGGACAACATCACCCACGCACCTGCTACTGTGTATCAGTCCAGTGACGAGGAAGAAGCCAAAGTTGAGCTCAAGTTGGAGCTCAAAGAAGAGGGTAGCACCTCACACTGGTTGAGCGCAGAGCCCGAGGGTGAGCGCAGATCAACAGCGCGTTCGTATAGTCACCAGTTGCCACCTCCAGAACCTCTTCGGTGAGCCACCGGTGAAAAGCGCTAGAGCGAGCTCAAGTTCAACAGCGGACTTCGATTACGAGAGTCGTGCTTCGAGTGTCGGCTGGCGCAATACAGTTGCATCTCCAGGTGAGTGGCGTGTGGGAGGCCATCGGCGTGAGGAGTCGCGGTCAAGCAGCGCCGCAGGAGGGAGACAGCAACAGGCGAGGCGTGAGGAAGAAGATCGCCTCTGGCACGAGTGGCGCGAGAGCCGGTGGAGGCGTGCGGCCGGTGGAAGATCGGGAAACTACCGCTAGGAGCGGGTGACACCGCAGGTTACGGCCTCCTTGCCTAGGCAGGCCTATCCTGTGAGACGCCCGTAGATTTGTACAGTCACTTTTCTTTTTAAGATGGCCAGTCCCGAAGAGATTGCGGCCATGAAGGCACAGATCCTCGAACTGACCGAGGGTTTGAAAAGGGCTAATAGCGCATACCAGGTTCAGCAGGAAAGATTGAACAGAGCAGAGCAAGCATTGGAGCAGGCACACACAACAGCGCAGACAGCAGGAGCGGCAGCACAGGCAGCAGGGGTCACAGCCCAAGCGGCGGGGGAAACAGCACATGCAGCAGGTGTTGCTGCAGCAGCACCGCGGGAGCATAGGCAGTTGATCCATCCAAGCAATGTGCCAAAACCCCACCAGTGGAACGGCAAGAAAGAAGAGTGGGAGAAGTTTCGGCATGTGTTCACGGCTTGGAGTTCGACTGTGCATGCGAGTTACCCGGTACCCGTCACTGCTTGAAAAGTATGGTGCATCCAAAACCCTGTTGACGATTCCAAGTTTTCTGCTGATGAGGATCAGCTTTCTAAGGCCATGTACACCTTTCTCATCCAGTATTGCCCTGAGCCTACCACGGGTGTTATGGGTCAAGGTCTCCCAAATGCCAACGGCTTTGAGGTCTGGAGGAGATTGGTGCAACTTAGTGAGCCAGCGTACAGGACGAAAGCATGGATTTGGAGAAAGCATTTAGCGAACCCCAGTTTCCCATCTGATCCTGCCAACTGGAGTTCTGCGTTGCATCAGTGGGAGTCTGAGCTGAGGGAGTTTGAGAGAGCGTTCAAAACACCAATTTGACAGACGATGAGATGATAGAACATGTTGCGCCGAAAGAGTTGCAGCAAAGCATCTTCATGCACAGTGATGCGCTTGACACATACACGAAGATCAGGGGTTACATTGAGCAGTATTTGATCAACAAGAACTTGTGGAAGCGACCCCATGGATCACAGTTCGGATTGACAAAGGTTGCAAACAAAGTGTCAGACAATCCCGTGGACGATGGAGGACAAAGGGACATGGACATAGGAGCAATGGGAGATAAAGGAAAGAAAGGAAAAGGAAAGGACAAAGGCAAGGGACAAAAGAATGATCACCAGAAGTAATGGTCACAACAGCAGCAAGGAAACCAAGGAAACCAGAACAATAAAGGAAAAGAAGGAGGAAAAGGAAAAGGGAAAGGAGATGGTAAAGCCAACATCAACAAAGGCAAGGAAGGCAAAGGCAAAGACAAGAACAACAAAGGCAAAGGAGTAGGAAACCCACACGCTGGAAAGCAATGCCATGCTTGCCACAAGTACGGGCATATCGCTGCAGACTGTTGGTGGAAGATTGGCAGTGTCGAAGGAACCGAGGCCCCGCCGAGTGAAGCGGCAACGCTCCGGGCTGCGGGCACAGGTGGCTCGAGCACTGTGGGCTCGGTCTCACCTGGGTTCTCTATGGACAATGTCATCTTCGCCATAGGAGAGAACGGCGTGGCAGCGGTCAAAGCCGTTGATGAACATCACTACGTGTTGGTGGATTCAGGTGCTTGTGAGAGCGTGGCCAAAGTTGGGGATTTCAAGGAGCCGGTTGACAAGAACGGGGCGAGACCACTTTACAGTCTTCAGGGGAGGGACTCCGTTAAATGTTTACGGCAAACAATATCCTCACATCGCGGTGGGAAGTCTTCAGGGTTATGGAGATGACGGTGACCGATGCCGCAGAAACCTTGTTGTCGGTGCACAGCTTGGTCCAGCGCGGGCATCAGGTGCACTTTACGCCCGAGGCCAGTTACATGGTCACAAGGGACGGTGAGCACCTCCCTTTGGAGTTGCACGGGAAGCGTTGGTATCTTCGTGTTAGGAAGTTGGGTACCAATTCCGGGGAACACCGGTCCGAAGTCGAACGCGGCCGGGATGATGATGAGGGTGTGGATTCGTGGAAGATCGAGTCCAAGGATGGCGATGAGTACCTCATCAGAATCCATGTTACTAGGAGGGTGTGTCTCTTCTCACCCGACAGTGGGGATGCCATGGTGATCTGAAGCATTGTGGGCGACACCAGGTTCGTAAGTCAGCAAAGACTGTTTCAAGCAGCTGCTGCTCAACCTGTGCTTGAGTCTTGCAGACACGAGCATTTTGCTCTTACAGGGATGACTGTTAGATCTGCCGTAAGTGCAGTATCAAAGATTCTCTGCGCAGTTTCACGTTGTGAGTTTGTGCTGAAGGGGTGAAGTTGAAGTAAATCCTTTACCTGGCACAAGGAGGGTGCGAACAACGTTCATGCCCTGACGTGTTCTCATATGTGCCCTGTAAAGTGTATAGAAAGCACATGTATATGAGCCCAATACGTACTGAAGCCCTTTGCAGCTCAAGATAAAAGAGGAGTGAGTTGCTTTTCGCAACACAGGATATGGTCGAACATGTCTATTGTAACATTGTATGTGCAAGCTAGAATTAGAGCTCACTCTGCCCCTTTGTCATGTATGCTCCTTGATCATGGCTCTTCGGGGGTGGCAGCTCGTGGAGTCCTTGAAGCAAGCACTCGCTTCAGTAGTGAAAAGCATTAACCTTTGCTGACCATCAGGCTGTTGACCACCTCACCTAAAATCTGCCGATGTAGGTGCCTATGGTACAGGATATTCTATGCAAACCCTTGGGACTCACCTGGGATCCACGCTGAACTTTCTCTCCATTCATGCCGTTCCGAGTTTGGGGTCAAACCCCTGTACCATACTTTGTATGCTAATCCTGACGGGCCGCTGGAGCCTCCAAATTCCTCGAGATCTGGCCACCTACTTGAGAGGTCTTGTAATTCACTCAGCGCTCGTATTTTCTGAGATCGCATAGTGGCTGAGATGGAGTCCTGCAATCTCTCCTTGCAAAGGCACCTGATTGTCTTTGTATGCCTTCAGCCCCTTTGGCACCCGCAACAGTCGGGGGCGCACGTGCGCGCGGTGAGGGGGGAAACCCCGTCACCACAACCCTGGCGAAAGAAAGAGAGAGAAGGGCCCTGGTGGCCGGGGGACGCAGCCCGTCCCTCATGCCGTGGGAGAGCGATGACGAATTCAGACAGGGAGAGCGAGATCCAACAAAAAGAATCAAAATGGGTCGCCCTGTTTAAGAAGAACAAAAATCAATGGGTCGTGACGCAGGGGTAGGTTCTTTTCTTCGGGGATGTGCCTGTGAAGTTCGGTTTGATTCGAATTCTGCCAGTTGCCCACCAGTATTGGATAGTTCGTGATTGATTCCATCTAATTCCACAGCTAGCCTTGAACCAAGTGGTGGCAAATTGAGAACCGGCGTCCATTCCTGCTTATTCGATTGGAGGTCCCGTAAAAGCAAAGTCTTGCGGCAGATTAATCCTGGTTGACGTGGCTGCAGCTGCGAGCTTTCAAGGTCCCCGACTATGCCATGATCGCAGAAATTAAGCTCTACTCCTACGGATATGAGGCCATGACAAAGCTTGGATTGCTGTCAGCATTGCGTTTCGAAGGTGTGCACGGCATGTGTAGTTGGCGAAGATGAATGGAGAATGGACTTGTCCATCGACAGTTTAGACTCAAGTTCCCTGGGCATGTCTTTGGTGTGTTGCACAGGACCACACCTTAACGATTCTTTGTGTCGTTGTGTCGTGTATTGTTGACGAACTTGACTGTCATCCTCGGCCATCTGTAAACGAATCGGTTTCGCTTCTGCAAAATATCGAAGGAAGGCATTTGTTTGGAAGTTTCCGTGTTTTTGTTTGACGAGACGCTGTGCATCAGGTAAATAAGACTGCCTACGTGCATCATGCAAGTTGGCTGTCGGAAAACTTCTGAATTCCGCCACAGGATTCGAGATCTTTGGCGCAGAAGATCGCGATAGACTCAGCCTACGCCGGTTTCGTGTGTGGTGGCCCTCTCATGGGGTTGGAGCCGCTTGCTGCTGTGGAAAATCCCTTTGCCTGCTCATCTCATGTTAGCTGCAAAACCTACACCTGTGCGCTGCTTGCCCCAATCCAATAAACCTGAAATTGAAGCTGCCATCTACTTGATATGTACATACATACGTGCAGTACATACATACATACGTACATGTATACATACATTTATACATACGGACATACATACATGTTCACATCCGTACATGTACGTGACGTGACGTGACGTAGCATGACCTAACATGACACGACATACAGACGCGCGCACGCACATATGCATATATATATATACATATGTTTATGTGTGTATTGATATTACACATACACATGCATGCATTCAGCGAGATGCTTTTACGCCGAATTGTATACTGTTTGTCATCGAATAGTTGAGCCTGCTGAACCTCCAAGGACAAATCGCGAACGAAGTCCCCACTCGCCGATCCCCAGGGCCCCAGGCAGACTTCATCCAACCCCAGCCCAACCACCAGCCGAGTACCTGAGCCCCAATGCAAGGTCACCACCTACAAGCTCTGCTCCGAACAGCTTTCATCACAGAAGTTTCGCGCCAAGCTATTCTGCCAATCTCATAGAGGTTGCGGGACCGTGGTTAGTTTGCGTAGCCGACAAGGCCAATGTTGGAGTGCTGTCGTGGTTGCACCGTTATTGTCGCTGCTGTCGCCATCATGGTTGTTAAGCCGATTCGGGCAATGTTTATAACATGGTGAACTCCTCGTCCTCGTCCTCCTCCGCCTCCTCCTGCCCACCATCATCATCATCATCATCATCACAACTTAACCATCATCATCACCGTCATCATCATGAGAATTTTGTTCATGGGTCAGGGCCTAGCATGCTTATCATCTTCCTTAGCAGTCGTTTCTACTTGGTACGGGCATGTTTAGCACCTGGGGCTGGCATGCAGCTTCCGGATGTGGAACTCCGGGTCCGATCCCCGAAGTGCACGAGATGTGGAGTGTGGAAGGAGGAGAATTTAGGAGCTCTGAATCGTGCTCGATATCCAGAGAACCTTTCTTAGGGAGTTGCAGGCCCTTAAATCCCAAGACCACCCACGCCTGACTTTGGAGCGACCCCGGTCTTTGCGGGATGAAGGCACTATGACTATGGCATGCGAGCGGTCTTCGCAGTGTTGGTCCAAGCTGGCCGGCCGGAGCCCCGACAAACCTGTGGCCCAGAATGTTACGTTGCAACAGGGAAAGTCGCCTGAAAGGGTTTAGGTTGGGGGTGTAAGGAGGTAGTTTGACACGCTGAACTTTGTTCAGGGTTCAGGGCTGCTGGATTGAAGACCTCAGTTTGCAGAGCAGTTGAGGTGCGCCGTAACTGGTGCGGCAGTGGTCAGTCAGAACTTCCGGTTCCTGGTTGTTGATGCAAATGGCAAACGCGTGCACCACGGGACGTTCTCCAAAGCATGGCTTCATGCGCACCATCCGGCTCGTCTAGACCTGTGAAGCTTCAATCATCAGGTGGTCTTGTTCTGATGCGATGTATCGAATGTAAGTATCGGAAACTCTCCAATCTTTTTCCCTTGGCAATGCAGTCCCAAAGGCGCAGCCCCCAAGATGGTTTGGTTGAGCCACCCTTCTCGCTTGAATCCCGAACCCTGCAGGCCCAACAAGGAACTCAACTCCACAGGTTGAAGCGGAACAATCCTGGCCAAACGAATGAGCTGGGCGCCCGGAATGCGTGCTTCAAAGGAGATGCCTTTAAGGTTGGGACTGTAAAGTGTAGGTGAGACATGGAGTCTGTTCTTCTTGTGGGCTCCTGGCTACCACCCCGTGTCAATCTTCATCCCGAACTCATTTCCTTCAGTCCAGTACCCTTTGGTTGATGCTGCTGTGAAGGGCACAAAGGCTTGAGCACCGAAGAAGGCTGGTCTTTGTAAACTCTCTTCAAAATCAAGCTTTCGTTTGTGCCTGGGTTCTCCCACCAAAGGGGCTGCATCAGGCTTGATTCTCGGGGCAAGAGCCACTCCTCGTAGGATGCTGCATGTAGCCTTGCTACTGACTCGCATCTTTGCTCCCCAGCCCCATCTCGCTAAAACTCATGGGCAGGTTGCGCGAGAGTTCACACAGACATCGTAGATGTCCACTTGACAGGCTAATGCACGAGAGTCGAGGCAGCAGCCGGTCTCAAGACCCTCAAAGTCCGGCTCCAGCAGAGAACTCACAAGCTCTAAGCACGCGGAGCAGGCTGACTTGTCGTGCCACTAAAATCCGCAGCCCTCATATCCCGTCCACTGAATTTCTCCAGTGGGCTACGAGCAAGGAGCGTGCTCATGCTGCAGTCTGTGAACGACGTGAACCTGGCCAAGTTCTTAGACTTCGATGCCCCTTGGCCAGAACTGTCCCGGTCCGGCTTGTGGTTTGAGGGAGCGACAGGTTGCAGGTGACTTGGATGATTTGCTGCCTCAAAAAATTGGCTTCAGTGCTGAGATGGTGACAGCTTCCGGGATTCCCTCCGGTTTGTCATCGTTTCGGACTTGGTGGAAGGTGCCGCTATACAATGGTATCACCCGCGACTTGTTCCCGGGCGTGTCCGGTCCCCAGATTGCAGTACGTCATGTCGCAGATGCTCTTAGTTGTTGTTTGCTAACCGGAGACAGCGTCCTGTCTGTCTCATCTCCGTGCTTACATTCTGTTGGAGTTGAAAATATCTACAGCGATCCTGCTTCAAGCAGGAGGCCATCGGATACCCTTGCAAAGAGACTCTGCATGCTGATAGTCGGCTAAATTCATCAGCGACACAACTTCCACCAAAACCCGCGTTCCACAACAATGCACTACACAGCAAACTTCTCGAACCTCACGGGCCAGGGATCTCCCGAAGCCTGACTACTCCATGATGGTCCGAGGCCCAGTTGCGAGATTCTAGAATGAAATTTGGGTCCGGTGGTTCGAGAGAGTAGGGGAGCTGGCTGCCGCCCATCCCTCGCCAAGTAGCAGTTGACCAAGGTCGGCAAGCTCACGCTGAATCTGGACAGCACACACTGCCAGGCAGTGTGCCGAAGAGTTCTGTGCAGCACCGCTTCAGGACTCATGATCATGGCTTTGATGATTTGCACGTGGGCTCTTAAGATTTCCTGAGCTACTAAACCGTTTGTTTTGACCTTGCCAATCCGCTCTCCGTGAGGCCCATCCCTACTTCATCGACAAGATCATCCAATTCTACGAGTGCCACCTGGTCCGGTCTGGGCCCTGAGGGTTGCTCGCTACTTGAGTGAAGCAACTCTGACTGCAATAGTAAGGAGGTCGGGGGGCCAATTCTCCCAGACAAGGCTTCATCCCTTCCGAATACCTTTGTCCTAAGTTTGAAGCCTCTGCCAGACTGGGGCTGGGCCGAGGCACAGCGTGATGCTGGTCGGCATGCCGTTCAGTGGCAAGACCACGGCTCTGAAGACCCTTCAGAAGGCTCTTACCGACTTGGCACAGGACTGGTGAAGACCCTTCAGGGCCAGGTCGATGATGAAGCTTTTGACACGGTCTTTTCCCGACACATCACGGCTACAGTAAATAGAAATGAAGTGCGAATCGGCTGCTCTAACGTATTGCACACTCCAGGGGCTGAGCATGTGCTGCTTCCGCACAGACGCAGGAGGGCCTCATGCATGCTGGATGCGTCGTTCACCAGGCGCAGCCGTGCAGACTTCGGAGGTTGCTATGATGTGATATATGCATTCTGTTGACGAGCAAGGGTTGCAGTCCGGAAGTGGCTCGTTCCCACATCGACGGATGCACGTGCAGACTTCAAGCTCGTTTGTTCTGCCGCTCCATCTTCCATGGTCCCTAATGCGCACCAGCATGTATCTGAAAGAAACGTTTGATGAGGAAGGTCTCGTTTTATCCTGGGTCTTTGCAAGCCCGGTCGGTTGGACATCGTACGTAGCATCGGCAAACCGTGCGATCCAACCGCGCTATTCAAGCATCCTCAGGCTTACTGTGTCTACCGAACTACATTCGGCACTAGGCCATGTGCGATAACCTTAGAATCCATATTCAATACCCAAACGAGGTCGTTTACATGTCGGATAGCGGATCAAGAGCGTCTCCTGCAAGCCGCAGTTCTGAATACTCATGCTCCACGCCAGGAACAATAATTATGAATTGCTTGGTTTTCTGGGAGTGCATACTTATAACTGGTCCCTGATCTAGAATCTGGCTATTGGCTGTCTTGGGGTTCTGTGAGGCATCTCGAATTGGGGAATTGAGGAAGCCTCCAGGCTCGTCTGAACCCGAAGTCCATTCCAGCGCGGGATCTCTACGGCTGCTTCGAGGAGGCTGCATCCCAGCAGAGCTGTGTTGATTTGGCTTGGGCAAGTGCCATTACCGTTGATTCGTCATGCCAGGTTTCTCGCGAGTGGGTGGACGGCATTGTGGCAGTCCTTTTCCGTGAGTTCGCCCGAAATCAAACGGAGGTGCCGTTCTGCAGACAGATGTTTTGCAGGGATTGCTGAAGCTCCGGGTGTGGAGGTACAACCTGGCAGAACTGACGCGGGGATGATAGAGGGTCCTAACAATGCAATCCCCACACCTGCATGTTCAAGTACCAGTACTGTTTTTTGCAGACGTTCAGATCCCAGATGCGCTCAAGCTTACTAATCACACGTACGCCGTAACTGAACACCCCAGCACAGGGGACATGATGTAGGGACCCCGTGGCAAGAAACTTTTTGATTCGTGGCACATTTTCTAAGCTGGCGGTTGGCCACAGCCAAGGGAAGCAAGCTTTGCGGCCTCGATTCTTTGGACAGGCCTAGATTCTTGGATCCTGCACTGTAGACCTAGCGCGAGGAGAGAAAGTGGCTGGTGTTCGATGGCCCAGTCGATGCTGTCTGGATCGAAAACATGAGCCTTATCCTGCAAAGAGGGGTTTCGAAACGCCGTAACGGCTGTGCCAGAGTTGTCCGTTCCGCATGCTCCAAATGTTTTGTGCATGGGTGCATTCCCACGGTGTTTTAAGAATTTCAGTTGAGTTGTGTGTCACAGCCAGCCTCAGCACGAAATTGCACAGGAATACTGTTATGGACGAGAACAAAAAGCTGTGCCTCAACAGCGGCGAGATCATTGACTGTCTGGCAGGTTTGATGATGGAGTTCGCCACATTGCAGAAGTCAGTACAGCCAGGGGCCCTAACACGGTAACCTGTCATTGCATGTTTTGTGCAAGCTGCACGGTGCGCAAGAGATTGTGTAACTGTAGATCTGATTTGATATTATGTCACGTTCAAGCCTGCAAATCATCATATGTGGGTGTCTTTTGTCTTGACTTACTGGTATGCCACATGTCCTTCTGTGCACACGACTGTCGTCCCTGCTTCGCGAGGCTTAGCCAAAACATCGAACGGCCCGGTGAGCATTTCCGTCAAGCAGAAGAGTGTTTTCCGTTTGGTGATTCGCCCTAGAAACTTAAGCAAGCCAGGCTATGTCCCCGAACATGCGCACCATCATCGAGCCCATGGCATCAAGCTCAAAGGTCACGGTCACTGCTGACTCTAATCGGCTTAACTTTGCTCATTCTTGCATTGCATAGGGAGGCATTTTGAGGGGTAGATGCCTGGCTTCGTGCTCGTTTCGGAACCGGACAGAACATGCACGATCTAGCCGGACTGTTGCGGATCTCCTGAGGATGTGGAAGTCGCTTCTCCGGCCACAATCTCGCGCAACGGCATGGCCGCTGGCTCAGACTTCCTGCACAGCTGGCACTGATGATGCCTTCCAAGCCTGTCCACGATGCTCTTGCTTGGATGTTACCTGGCAGGCATCAGTTGATTGACTGGGGCTGGTGCGACACATGGACAGTATCTTTCATGGTCGAGCTGGCGTGGACGGGTTCTCACCTATCATCTTCCCTTAGCTTCCCTTTCTTAGGCTCCAGGTTCCTGTTCTGCATCGTAGAAGATTGGAGCGGGTTTGATTCCCATCCGACAAAGATGGAGCGTCTTCGATGCAGCGCCTTGGTTGCGATCGCTGTACAGATGCTACGCGCACGGGCGGCCATCTGTGGCAACTGGAACGAAACGCAGTGCGCCACCATGAATGATGGCGGTTGCAGCTGTTACTGGAATTCCACGACTTGTGCAATGAATAGCTCGGACTGCAGTGGCGTTGGCATTACATCCGTGGGTGACAATTGCACGCTGACAGGCGGTGAGGTGGTGACTGATGGCTGGAGTGGCAAAGACACCGGCGCCAACTGGTGCAACAGCTGCAGCTGTGGACAGGGGATGCTAGCATGCACTGAAATCGGCTGTATCGACCCGGATGCCAATGGCACGCTGCAGACCAGCAATGCCGGTCGATCTGTTGCCGCGGTGGCTGCTTTGATCATGTCTCAGCTCTTCGCGAGGAGTTGCTGATCTCTGCAGTGCGCAGCATTTGCGTTTATGTTACCAACGTAGCTCCTGAGTGCCACTGTTGGATAGGTGACATGCAGGAGCCGTGCCTTCTGTCTGGAGCCTAAAGCACGGACTTAGACTGAGACATACAGACATACCTTTTTCGGTGTTGCACAACGAACTTCATCGCGGGAGACAGCCGGGCCAGAGAGCGTCCGAAGACCCTGCCGGCAGCGGCCGCAAAACTGTGGACATGCATGAAATTGCCAGCGCTACATGAGTTGAAGTCTATTCTCGAATTGGTTTATCTTTTTTTGCGCGCTCTTGTGGATAGTGTTAGTTTCCGCGCAGTGATCGGTGAGCGTTGGTGAGTCTGCGGTCTGGCTATTTATTGTGCTGTTTACCGCAATTCGATGCTGAGGTCTTCTTCGAGCCTCACCTCATGGGGTATCAGCACCTCATCGACACTCCGCTGCGATTGAGGGTGGATGTCTCAAGTTAAGGCAGTATGAGGACCACACGGATCAGGACGTCTGTGTTGGGCATCGGCCACTTCGGTTTTTCAACACAACATGGGGATTGATCTTAACCGTCTGCTCTTCAAGGGCAATCTTCATATTGGCTTACGACTTGTAACCGTGTGACACCCATCTCGACCTTTGTAAGAAGTCTGCACAAGCTAGTGTGTGTGTGTGTGCACAAGAAACACGCAAGAGCACACAAAGGCTGACTCATCGGAACGACAAATTCGATCAACCTCTAGACCGGTCGCGATGCCCTGAGAGGCCTGAGCACCAGGTACGGTAGCATTGTGAACCCCACTCCCACGAAGGCCTGCTGTGCAGCAGGATCCTTCGGACATGCTTCCCTGAGCACGGATTTCTTACAGACTTTTTGTCTGGTTTTGCTTTACGGGTGCATCTCTTCCTTTTGCTTTCCTTGTCGTGTGCAGCCTTGTTTATTGGACTAAGAGCTGTTCGTGTGCAATGCAGAAGTAGAGCTCGTTTTGTTTGGTTTCTTCGTCGGTGGGTTGTGCAGGCTCTTTCGATTGTAGTTGCCAGCTACATGCACCCCACTGCCTTCCACGCCGTTGTCATTTAGATCTTTGCGGCATGCCCACAAGTCAGGACAAGACGCTGAAGGGCTCTTTGCCGCAGGCGGCCTGTTGTTTCAAGTGGTAGTTCAGGCAGTTCTGCACGTGTCGAGCCTGCAGGACATTTAGAAGCTATGTTTGAAGCGCCTGCATAAGCATGCTGCAGGCAACCGAACAGGAATCACAGCAACCAGAAAAGTGCAGCTACAGGAAATGGAAGAGGGAGAGCGCACAGCGCTGTCGAGCATGATTGATTTCCTTGTCTGACTCCCAGCTCTGACGTCGTTGTGTTTGTGTTTGGCTCTGTGTGTTTCTGCGCCTGCGTCCATGTGCTTACTGTGGCGTTTCGTGCTTGCGATGACAAGAAGCCGTCTCGGCATTAAGGTGCCGGCGTTGGTGTCTCACGTGCAGAAGCAATGCAGAACTGTCCCGAACTCGGCTTTGATCGCGCATGCGGGACTGTCTGCACCTTCTGAAGTCAGATGTGAAGGCTCGGTGCAAGGATTCGGGTTAAAGCTTCGGAGGTTTGGATTCCCAACTCAGCATTCCTGCACTTCGTCTGCCAAGCAAACCTCACATCCGACGCAGCCGACTGTAAGGTATCGCCCGTCCAAGAACAGAACCTGGTGCAAAGCTTCCTAGTGCTCCTGACGACGCACTTGGAAAGCGGCTACAAGGACGTGGGATGATCTCTTGTTGGGGTTGAACTCCCGCAGGTTGAGCTCCTGAGAAAAGGGCTGCAAAAGATCCAAACACGTCATAGCTGTCCAGCCATTCGGCAGTTACTCGAATCTGGACCCTCGCCCAGCCATGATGTACGGACAGGATCCAAGCATGAGCCGCGATGCTGTGGACGGTAAAGCCATCGTGGCCATGGTTGATTGCGCCGGGCTAAGCGCGGGTTTCATCATTCCAACAAGGCTCTCGCAAGGATACTGTACAGGTTGCGGGCGTGTGAGTTGATGCAGCTTTTGCTCACGTTCTCCCGACTGCATCTATCCAACATCAAGATGCCACTCCACGCACTTGGTTGGACACTAGATTGATCTCTGCAGGGCTTCGGGTTTAGCACGGCTTGGAGCTTCACAAAGAAACAGCCCTGCATGGGTGCTTAGCGATCGCATGCCTGACGCTCAGGTTACGCGATCTGGTGCGCCATCTGGTCCTTCGGGGCAGTTTGCGAGCCGCACTGGCAGCTATTGCATAGCAGGGCACCCTTCATCCCCATACACAGCTCGCAACAGTTTCTAGGTGAGCGATGCGTGCTCATGAACGAAGATGCTCGCAGCGTGCACCATAGGTTGAGGTTTGCTTCAGGTTTCTGGGCGAGGGAGATCGAGAATATCGCATTGATTACGGCACACATGGAGCTTGAGTAAATAAGCTCTGCGATTGCACTCTGAGCGAGCTTAATAAGGCTTGAATATATCCAGAAGTCCTTTTCTTATTTGTTCAGGGGTTGTTCAGGGGTCGAGCTGCGGTTTCGTCGTCGCTTGGCTTCCGAGCCTGGCCAGGACCACCAGCCGCTCCTCTTTCAGCCAGTTCCTCCGCAAGTTGCTGACAGGGCAGGCGGGGCGACTTCTGTCCGGTCTGCCAAGGTGCATGTTAAGCATTGTCCTTCCCTTCTTAAGGTTTACTGGGCGATATTGTCGAGATCGTCCAATCGCCAAGCAATTGTGAATCCACCCTTGGCATTAGAGATGCAGCGGCCGGAAGTGAGGGCTCGGATGGGTCATGCAGGCGGTGTCGGGAATGCTAAGCTTATGAAGCTCATCCGTGTTGTTCTGCGCACATGTGTGCTGTGTGACCTGTGAAAGGTCGAAAACAACAAGCCGCACAAGAAGCCGGGGCCTTTGCTGTCATCCCCACCCGCGTCTGATTGTGGTCCCAGAACCCGGAGGCTGCAGCCAAACCTCCCTGATCGTGGCTCGGTCTTCGACTACATCGTGGACCTAAAGCAGCCAGGCTCTGTGCTCAGACCGGGTGTTGAAAGAAATGGTGTGTTCTGGGGTTGGCTTTTGTCCCTCTCCGTTTCTGCACAAATCTGAGCCCGGGAACCTGATAGCATCTGTGTGTGTTTTTACCTACATTTAACCGTCCGAGAACGAAACGACGAATTGGAGGCTGGACCACCTGGATGGACACGGTGGAGGCCCAGACCATCCCCAATTCGGCCCAGGCCGGCACAGTGTGAGGGCACGTCGTGAGGCCGCCACTTAACCCGCGTCTCTGCAAAATCGCTGGCTTTCTGACTGTTTAAGCTAGCACTCGGAATGAACGGAGATTAGTCAGCTGCCGGGCATCACCTCGGTATTTGCGAAGGTGCAAAACATCATCGTGCAGACGGTGGACAACGTCTGGCACCCATGGAATTCATTGGCATGAAAGAGGGATAAACACGCAAGTCATTGCATCTCTTGACGATGTGAAGGTGCTTGTCGGCAATTTAACCCCTAAGCCTGCTGCAGGCCTGCAGAAACGATGTGTAGCCTGCAGTAACTTGAAATCCGGGCAGGTTTGTGCCTTTGCCTGAAGACGTTTGCTTCGTTTTGTTCCGAGGTGCGCTACCGCTACATCCTTGAGCACTGCACCTCGGCAAGAGAAGGAAGCAATGGTCTTCCGGTCGCACCTGGCCCCGACCTGGGAAGTTGAGCAAACGAGCTCTGAACATCGAGCCTAGTCCGATCTGTGACTTGTAGCCCGCAGGAAAGCAGAGTTTTCCGCGTAGTCTGCGACCCGCCAGGTATCAAGCATCGCATCAAGCTACTTTTCTGCGGTCCCACTGGAACGGGTCGCGAACTCATTTGAGGGCTCCAACGAGCTCTCCGAGTTTTCGTCAACCGGGACAGCGAGGGATCGGATCGGCATTTGCGGAGTTCGGGTACTGCAAGCAGCTATTGCCAGGACCACTAGGAGCAGGCTTGCAGACTTGACCGTGACGGGCACAGTTTTTGTGAGTTTCGGACAGTTCTGCGAGTACTCTCGAGAGCCTGGCTGTCAACAGCAAACGGGCGGGTTGCTGAAAATGTGCCATTCACGAGGAATGGGCATCAACCGTATCACCACGGGTGTCGATCACCAACATGGAAGCCGCGCCGGCAAGCAACGGTAACTGGCCTGCGGAAGCGGAACCTTTCGTACTCCCACTCCCACAGTGCAAAATCCAAACTTTGGTCTTTGCCCGTCGTGCATGTAGCCACAGGCCCTATGCACGAAGCACCAGAACTGCCCAACCTGCTTCATATGGAAACTGCCGTGAACCTTTCGCTGCTCCTGGAAAACACGGGGGTTGGGTGGTCGGAGGCGTGGAGAGTGAAGGCCTGCAGGAGTCTCTGTCGGGGGAAATGGTGCCGGATTGCTGGGAGAAGCCAGATCGAGAGGTGAAGAGCATGTATTGCGTAAAGATCTTGAGATAAGGATGACTTCATCTACGCACTAGGTTTCAATTTTGGCCGGCAGTGGCCCCACTCTAGCCTTGGATCGTGTGTTGTCGATTTCAGGCTCTTGAGGCTCAACGCCTAGGCTCGACAGTCACGTGAGGAGTCGCTCGGTCTTCATTCATTTTGCGTCCCTCAGGCAAGACCGTCTACATGCAGCAGGTGCGAAATTCAGATTGCCTCTCAGAGTTTTCGTCGCAGGGGATTCTTTTCGAAAGGGGGCCTGCAATACCTGTTGGGACCTGCCCTGGATACCTTCCGAAATCCTGAGATTAGTAACCGTAAAGCACACAAACAGTACCTACATTGCAGCGCGAACCAGAGCCGCAGAGACGGACACGCGGCACAAAGTCAATTGCCGTCTCTAGCATTGATGCTCTATTTTCGCGGTTATTCAATCGGAATCTCCGGAATGGCCCTATCAACACAGACAGAGGTCTCACTTTGCTCCCTCTTGAAAGCATCGTCCAAAGCCCTTTGTCTTCCACTGTTATACCGCTTTCTGGGAAACCATGGCGAGCATTAGGTGTTTCACTGCTTGCTAAACATTCGCCCTCTTGGTTCAGGCACTCATGGCGATGCCCAAAGAGACGCACCTTGCCTTGTTCGGCATCTTCCATAGATAGCATGAACCTATAAGCAGCTTCTCCTACATACAAAGATGCATGTGGCGGCTTAGGGTCGTTACGTGCTGGGTCTGAAAAGCCTGAGTCGAACGAGGAGTCCGTGAAATGCACTGATATGCTCAAGTGCATTTCCACTCTTTCTGTGCAGTGGGTCACGTGCAGAAGATACCTTGCCTGTACAGTAAGGGGAGGTACTGGTGCAGAATCACAGTGCCTGGACAAGCCTCAAACCATTTCAGCCTGGCTCCCTGAAGCCCTGGAGCCAGTTACAATCCGGTAATCTCTCACTTCTGATGCGATTACAAAGGCACATGTCAATCCAGATCGGATTCTCCGCTCAGACGAAGTGCTCGCAGACGCAGGAGAGAGAAGACGCGCACGAAGGGTATCCATTTATTAGCTTTGGATTATTGGGGTGTGGAGCTTTTGCGAGATTCCGATCCCGATCACAGGGATTGCACTGGACATCTAGGTCTACCACCTTAGTCCTAGCGCTTCCACAGCGCACCCGCGCAAATTGCTGACAGGCGCAGTATTTCGGACTGTTTTCTTGCGTCGAAAGTTAGTTGCCCGGTCGATTTCAGAAGTTTAGGGACACAACCCCCTGGATTGAGCCACTGTGTCTCGGCAACCATCCGGTACACTTCTCGTTTTGTGCGTGTGCACCTGAGCTTGCATGTGCCGTGCTAGGGCTTCGAGCTTCGAGGCCTTGAAGGGCTTGGGGTTTGGAGGCGTTTAAGGGTTTGGGACCCTAGAGTAAAGACGTGTTTGGGGCTTAGGCTTGTCAGTGACTTCGTGGTTGTCTTGACGCGCTTCCAATGTACGTAATTGCCCCCCCCCACCCCCCCCCCCCCCTCAAAAAACCAAACCGGAAACCGCCAAACCAGGCCTTGGGGTGTTGAACACACTAAAAAGCGCGGGTTCCTTATGGAGACGCTTAGACCTTAGTAGATTTCGCCGATCCTGAAATCGCAGGGCCATACCGTCGAGTCGTCACCAGCCTTGGAGTTTGATATCTTGGAGCATCACCCCGGCAACATGAGCAAAACTGTGAAGGCTCAAGAGGTGATATGGATGCTCGGCTCCATCTTCATTGAGATCCTTATCGGTGTAGCACACTGTTTTTGAAGCCCAGCACATGTGAAGGATTTGGTTGACGCCAAGCTGGAGCGGCGACGGAAAGGAGTCTACGGTCCGCCCATGGGCCGTGGCCTTGGCATTCTGCCTTATTCGACCTTAGGCGCTTAGCGGGCTCGTGCTGAGCCATGTCTTCTTGACCGATTGTGCCGTCGACAGTGACAAGTCACTGTTGTTGCCGAGCCATTCTAGGCTGCACGAACGCTGGTGTGCGACCCAACTGCTCTTGGCAGCTGCGGTTTATTGCGGTGTCCAGGCCGGATGTGCGTCGTCATGGTGGACGATCTCAACATGCCAGTGAAGGAGCTGGCCAAAGCATTTGTCGGGAGGGGTGTACAGGATTGCCCAATATGGGATGAATCAGTGCGAGGTTGAGAGTCTGTCGGCTCGAATCTTGGGATGTAGCCTTCGTGAGGCTTGAAGGTTCAGGGCTTAGGACGACCCAACTACCTGGTGGCATTTCGCGTGCCTCCGAGGAGAAGTATGGGGCCATGCCCCCCATCGAGATTCTGAGGCAGAGCATGGCGAACGCCTCGGTTAGGTCGTGTGTCCTGAGCAGGTTGGTGGGTAGCATCCTTCACAAGATATACAAGATCTTGCGCAGCAGTGCTGCATCTTGAATCTTGAGGGTCGGCCTCGGCCTATCTTTGGAACTTTCGGTAACCCTTCGGGCTGGCGACACTGGTTGTTCGTGAACTTACCAAAATCAACAACTTGCAGAGTCAACACAGGCTTCCCAAGTTCCGAGATCTTCGGCATACGTACACATATACACACGTACAACTTGCGAGCCGGTTCAACTCTGATCCTGCTCCTGATGCAAACCCTTGTAGGCAAGGGTCATGTGTAGATCCCAAGCCTCGGAAGCTTGGAGTCCAAGTTGTGAGCTGTGATATCAAAGCCCGGAGAAAGTCCAGGCTTTCATTTGTGCTGCGCAGCTTTGTGCTTTCAGGATAAGAGGCTGAATCCGGTCTATCGAGAACCTGAGAATTCGCAGAGATGGCTCTTCAGTAGTTCCAAGGTGCAGGGCTTGAGTGAATGTTGAAATGGGTTCATCGCACCAAAGGCTTGAACTTAGTGATCTGAATCATCTCGTTATGATGGGCAGCAAGTGTCAGAACCGGCAACTGAGATCTTTTCCTTTTGCAGCCATGCCTCGGCCGGGACTTTGTCTTCTTGCACAGCTGGCCGTACTGGCCATGGGAGATGGCCGAAGTTCCAAGCCGAACTTGGTACTGATACTGCTTGATGACCAAGATCAGGTCCTAGGGGGCATGGACCCCTACCCCAACATCCAGCGCCTTCTCGGTAAAGGTGGGACTAACTTCACAAATTTCTTTGTTAACACACCTGTTTGCTGTCCCTCCCGAGCCGAGTTGATGGGAGGCCGTTATGGGCACAATAACTTAGTCGGAGATCTTCGATCTTCGGGGGGTTCTCGTGGGTGCATGTGGGCAAACGTCACCGGGTCGTACTTCGTCCAAAACCAGCTCGGTAGCTACCTGTCCAAGCTCGGGTACACGAATGGCTTGTTTGGAAAGTACATGAACTCTCCTGCATGCTCATGCCCGGTGGAGGCAGGCTGCAAGCAAATGCCCAAGGGCGACCAGGCTGTCCCACCCGGGTGGGACAGGTGGTTCGGACTTTGCAAGATGGGGAAGTACTTCAGTAACAGTTTTAATGATGATGGTCAGGAGGTGTCCACGGGAGATGCACCACAGGACTACATGACTTCCGTCCTTGGAAACAGGACCGTTGAATGGCTGCACGAGGTTGCCGGAGCTGGGCGTCCATTCTTTGCCTACGTCGCACCTCATGCGCCTCACATCGCAGATGCCCAGTT